ATTTACAATTTTTCACACATATTTTTTCTCTTTTTGAATTAAGATTGTTACATCATGACTTAGCTAAGGTCCCATTTTTCTATTATTCCTATATTTCTTGTTATCAAACCATGAAAATTTACTTTTCTTTTTATTTTTCACATTTTTTTTTAGTTATCTATAAGTATCTTATTTGTGCTAAAGAAGTACACAAGTAGTAAGGGAATAAAAAAATTCTTAGGACCTTGGATAAATAAAAAAACTCGTTTTTTTTAAATATACACAATGACTTTTTAAATTTTAAATTTCATTCTAATTTTATTTTAATTTTACAAACATCGGGTTTTTCAAGCAAGTATCCTAGAAATGACTGAAAAAATGTGGTATCAATAGAAATACTCAAATATTTTAATTTTATTAAAAAAAATATATTTTTTTCTGTTTATGGTGAAAAAAAAAAAAAAAAATAATAATAAAAATACAAATCCAAACAAATTAAAGAAAATTGATTCATAAAAATATACCCACAAAAAGATTAAAAAAAATATCATGTTAGTCCCTAGTCGCGCTAGAATTACGTTGAATTCAAAACCGCTTTGGAAAAATTTTACCTCAAAACCGTGATTCTCATAAAAACACGCAAAAAATTATCACATAAGTATTAACTTAATTGTTTGCGCAAATTTTTCGCATTAATAAACCCATGAACAATATTACTCAACCATCGAGGTTACTTTGACAAAACGTTACCAAACCGCCTCAAAACCAGATCACTACCAAGACCCACTTTCTAAATTGTCTCAAAATCCGGGTATATCACGCCTCCGGTTCAACATTAGCACCAATTAGTCTCACAAAGAAACGTTTGTCGCTTGCAGCAAACCGCGACAAAATCGTTTAAATGCAGATAATGACATTCAACACACTTGAACTTGCACAAACATGTGCGTGTCATGCTTTTCAGGACCTGAAACGTGGGCCAAGTGCTACCCGGAAGCGGCCGGCGACCGCCAAAGTCCGGTCGACATTCAACAGGTTTGTCTGAAAAGTTTCAACACGAACCGGAAATTGACCTGGAGGTATGTTCCGGAGAATACTGAAGACGTCACCAATACGGGGTATTGTTGGAAAGTGCACGTCAATGGGGAGGGATCAGGTATAAAATTTTTATACAGGGTGCGCCAGAACTCGCGCCCCAGAGAAAAATGCCATATAAGGTAAGATACCAGGAACATGGAAAAAATGTTATCTATAAAAATTTCGAAGTTATGAGGGTTTAAAGTTTGCACTTTTCTCTATTTATTTCAGTTGGAAAAATAATTTTTCAAGTTTTTTTGCTGTAGGCTATTAAAAGAAGAAACAAGGAAGGTGTATCCTAAATTGTGTTATTTGTGGCTTTTATTGGCCAAATTTTTGTCCCTTTACTAAATAATTGTAAAAAAACATATACAAGATCATCAGTATCCTTAAATAGATATAAAAAATGTCAAATGTCAAAAATTTTTAAACATTTTTTTCATGTTCCTGGTATCTTACCTTACTTGAAAATTTTCTCTGGGACGCGAGTTCTGGCGCAGCCTGTAGTTAGGGATTTGCCCCCAAGTGGATTTTTCCAGAGTTGAGTGGCGGCCCCCTTGAGGGGAAGTACATCCTCGAGCAATTTCACTGTCACTGGGGCGAGACCAACGACCAGGGCTCCGAGCACACCGTCAATGGGCAAAAATTCGCCGGAGAGCTCCACCTCGTCCATTGGAACTCCACCAAATACCATTCCTTCTGCGAAGCGGCCAAACACCCCGACGGTTTGTGTGTCATTGGGGTTTTCCTTAAGGTACTTCCCCGGGAAAAAGCAAAATTATCCTCGTATTTCGAAGTTGGTTATTTTAAGGTGGCAGCCATGCAAAAAATCACGCCATCCTAACCTCAATCTCCCCTTAAAGGTGTTTTTTTCAAATAAATGTGTACCCCAAGTGGCAAAAAATAATTAAAATTGACAACTTAATTAACAAACATAAAAATGTTTGTCATTATTGATGTGATTAAAGTTGTTCTGAACGACATTAATTTTTGTGTGAATTGGCCTTTAAGTTAAAGATGCATTTAGACTTCTACAAGCCACAAAAGCATACAAATTGTGTGTTCCAGGCCGGCAAACGCCACCCCGAGTTGGACAAAATCACTGCACAATTATCTCGGGTGGAATACAAGGGGCAAAGGGCGAAAATCGGGGTGCCTTTGAACCCAGGCTTGTTCATTCCGGAGGAAAGCGGGTATTACACGTATCAAGGGTCGCTGACGACGCCCCCTTGCTCCGAGTGTGTGATTTGGATTGTCTTCAAGGAGCCGATTGAAGTGTCCCATGAACAGGTTGTTTCCAAATCGAAAAAAATAACATTTTTTCTTAATAAATCAATTCGTAGTTGGTGGCTTTCCGGAACTTGAAATGCTACTGTGAGCAAGAAAAATGCCCCTGTGATGAGTTTCAAGGCTTCGTGAAGAATAATTTTAGACCCACTTTGCCCTTGGGCAAAAGAGAGATTAGAGAATGTCGACAATAATGATAACGTTTCAGTATTTTGCGATTAGTTCCTTCCTGTGATTGTAGGTTGATGTGATATGGGTGCGAGAGCACTGGTGCCTTAAATTGTTACATTTATATAAACTACGAAAAGTATTATGTAGTTAAATATTTTTAGACAAGTCGTTGTAAAACACTGTTCAATAAAGCAACAGTCAGTTTTAGAGTTTCTTTTTTAAACAAAACGCTTCAATAGTTATTTAATTAGCGGGTTTTTTTTTTCACCGTTTTTTAAGTTCTGGGTCTGCCAACATTAATTCATTGGTGAAATGAAAGTTACTAGACACTGCGCGCTAAAAAGTAGTACTGCGTCAAAATACCAGATAATTGTTGAAAAAATACAAGTTTCAAATATTTATCCATAATACAGTTTTCATTTTTGTAATAAGCATGGTAGCTTTTGAATTCAAGATAATCATTATTAAATCAAAGTCGTTTTATTATTGCAAAATGTCGGCAACGTGCAAGCACTGCTGTATTATTGGTTGCATACACCGTAACTGTTTTTATTTACATTTGTGATTAAAATAGTGGAAATTTAAAATAACCGAATAATTACAGGTGAATTAACAAAAAATTATTTAAATCCTTTTTTTTATCTACGTTAAATAAATTATTCTTGCAATATAAAATTTTAAGTTATAAAAAGAAACCTTTAACTAAGTTTTTGCGACTAAACTTTTGGTTCGAAGAAGTGTTTTGTATATTTTTGCACTGACTCAAAACAGATGCTATAAAGTAAACAGTTTAAAGAAGTTGATAATAAGTTTGATTAATTAAAATAACCAATGAAAATAAAATTTCTGGTCTACGAATTAATTATTTTGTTTTGCAAATTTTAACTCAAGCAGTTCAAATCGGTCATTACTACCAAAAACAAAATGATTCCTCTTCCTTTTCGTACATCTGGCGTGTTGGAAGGCATCCAACTGTGGTTCATTTACGGAAGCTGCCAAACATTGTGCTATTTTGAGTTATTCTTAGAGCAAAACAAAAAAGCGTCTTTCTAATTTAGTTTATTGTTTACACGAAAAGAGAATTTACAACTGCAAAAATCAAAAGTTGGGAAAATATCAAGTTCAGTGAACTTGACATTGCCGCAGAAAAATATAAAGGATACGATCCGACAACAAAGAAGCAAGATAAAAGTTAAAATAAAATATATTTAATGTAGGAAAATGCAAATAAAACAATTACTTTTTAGTTTTGGAAACAACAAATTATCTTATACCTTAATTTGACCAAATATTGCACTTTGTTTTTTCACTTTTGTTTAATAGATTTAACAATTTTCCTTGGATTCTAACTCATAAATATTTTAACATACGAGAATGACGAGGTCTTATTAATCTTTCATATACTTTAAGTAGTTAACATCTTTGTATGCAGCTGAATCCCTGCCAAATACACTGCCAATGACTTTAATATAGACTGTATTATCCATGATTAAAAACAAATTCTTCCAAAAAAATAAACACCTACCTATGCAAAACTTGAATTTTTTATAAAATTATGTAAAAAAAACAAAATATTTTATCAAGGTTGAATTTAAAAAAAGTTTACAGCTACAAAATACT